AGGGAAAAACTGTGTCAGGCTGGTTCAGCAGTGCGCTTCCCTCATCAGTTCCGGCCTCCTTCGAGCCGCTGCCCCTCATCCTTGCTATGTTTTCTTAGTCTTTTTGTTGACACGTGTAGCAGCATTTCCTACGTTTCGATGGTAAATTGGTACTGGCGTATGAATGGTAGACAGGCCCAGTGGTCCTGCCGGACATGTACTTAGTGGCTACTAGTTCAGCACTGATTCCGAAATCATGCCATTTTCTTTCTTCATATTGAGTGTTTTGGAAATTTTTAAAAAATGTAAACTGTGAAAGTTTGTTTGGCACTATAGGCTAGCCGATGAAAGGGACACAGTCGAATATTGTCAGTTGTGGGAAAGCAGTGAGTGCTAATTCAGATACCCTGATAAGCGAGCCTGTATGCGTAAAACTGGCTTCTGCGGCTCATGTCTTCTGTTTGAAGCTACCACACACCCACTGGAGAATTGGAAATGAAGTGAATTGAGGATTTTGAGATAGCGGCCCAATTCCTCCATATTATTGTCAATTCTGATATCAGAATTATACTTGCCAAAGAATTATCCCCTCATTGGGACTTTTCGCGGTTAGGTGCAAAAACCCTCATATTACTACTGCTGCTGGTGCAAATATCCCACCTCTGGTTGCAAGCTGTCAGGAGGAGAGCAGGCGGGATTGTGCAGAAGAGGGATCAGCAAGAATCTCCCGGACTCGAATCCTCCCGCCGCTCTACGGCTCTCATTATCTACAGCGCCTCCCTATAAAAGAAGCTGGCCTAATATTTTTAGGTCTTTGTTGTCTTTAGTTATCACCAGTCGATATCCTCGTCAGTCCACCGGCGGAATTCCTGGATTACTAGGGTGCTTGGTCGCAGCAGTCGAGGAAAAGACGATCTCAACGGGGGAAGGATTGCTTGGATACTTGGAGAGGGATCGCTCGGACACTTGAAAGGATCGCTCGGACACTTGGAGGAATCGCTCAGACAATTGGAGGGATCGCTTGGACGCTTGAAAGGATCGCTCGGATACTTTTTGTCACTGCAATTATATGAGTTACAGAGATCCTGTGCTTTTGGTGCATCGAATTTCACTGAAAATCAGGCTAGTTCAATTGCTCAAGATTATACCTCTAAGCTTACTATTCAGTTGATTGACAAGTGCATCGATTGATTGGAGGAAGCGAGGCAAAATGCGCTTGCGCAACACTGAGCTGCTCCACCTGGTAGTTTAAGATGTATACGATTCAATGGGCTGGAACGTTCCCTCCAGTCGATACTACATATATATATATACGTGTATATATATATGTGTATATATGTACACACATGTATATACATAGTTTCTGTTTTTTTAATTTTTCAGTCTGTGTATATATAGCATTATATATATATAGTATTGTTTGTTTGTGCGTATTTCTTCTCACTTAAATATCCTTGTATACTTATTTATCGTTAGCAATAGATATTATTATTGAAACGCTTAAAACAATTGATAATTTATTAGCTATTTTACCCCGGTACGCCATTTTCATTCACTTCTCGTGCCTAAAACTGCTACATTTCCAGGCAACATGCCCCAACTTATTTGGGCACCTTTACCCAAAAGGCGACAAGGTACTCATCCC